TCTACACACGAGACAATGCATCGGCGACGTAATTTTCACTTCCACTGACATGTTGTATATCCGTAGTAAATTCCGAAATGAAACGTAGGTATCGTTCTTCATGCGGTAGCCGAGAGCTGGAATCGGTTGTTAGCGCGTATGTTAGTGGGCGATGGTCAGTGAAGATCGTGAAGTTGCGTCCTTCAAGGAAGTGCCGAAAATATTTCACAGACATTTTCATCGCAGTCAGTTCACGGCCAAAAGTAGAGTATTTCGTTTGGGACATCGAAAATTTTTCGGAATAAAATCCGAGTGGTTCCCAATTCTGACCATTTAGCTGCTGCAAGACAGCCCCCGCAGCAATATTTGAGGCATCGATCATCAGAGCTAATGGTTTCGACGAGTCAGGATAGTGAAGCAGTGCTGTCTCCGCTAATGATTTTTTACAACGCTCGAAGCTTGATGAAGCTGCATCTGTCCACTGTAGTTTACGTATGTCGTTTTTCCTGTTCCCGGGAATAAGCTTCTGCAACTCAGCTTGGATGTCGGATGCATGACGAACGAAGCGTTTGTAGCCGTTGGCGAGTGCCAGAAAGCGACGGAGTTCCTTGACTGTTGTCGGTTTCTCGTAGTCCATAATGGCTTGGACGCGTGACGGGAGCGGCCGCACTCCATCACTGCTGATCAGGTATCCTAAAAATTCCACTTCCTTTTGGGCAAACACGCTCTTACCCAAATTTAGAACGAGTCCGTGCTGGCGTAGGCGGTCAAACACTATGCGTAGATGCTCCTGGTGTTGAGCAAGGGATTCAGAAGCGATGCATATGTCATCTATAAAGACAACAACGAAATCAAGATCACCAAAGATTCGGTTCATGTAGCGCTGGAACGTCTGACTTGCGTTACATAACCCAAATTTTTTTTTTTTTTTTTTTTTTCCTTTATTTACAAGGCTTTCAGCCATTGGCTGGTTCGCCTTGGGAACTCCAGAAGGGAGTTCCAAAAGGTTTGTAAGAGCTGCTACAGTGTTTGTATAACCATTAACACCATTAACATAAAACACAAATCAGTATAAACATAAAGGACATATTAAAATAAGAACTGGCGTGGTACATCTGCGTTAATTCAGTTGGACTTCCAATTGGATTGCGGTAAGTTGTCATCAGGGTTCAGGGTTGAAACGTATCGTGTATGCCGGTAGTTGGAGCTAGTCATTGAGGGTTGCGTGGGTCGAGTAGTTTAGATCATATTGAAGAGTCCGGTTTCCTTCAGGAAGATAAACAGCGTAGCAGTCCGAACGGGATCATCGGAGAGGACATCCCGGATGCTGCCGGAAATGTCGTAGCTTCTCCTGGTTCCATCGTATTTCGGGCATATGCAGATGAAGTGCTCGACGGTCTGTGGGATGCGGCAGTGGTCGCATATCCTCCGGAAGGGTCCGTCCCCCTTATAGTTGTGGGAGACGTTTGTGTGGCCGGACCGGAGTCGCGATAAAACAACCTGCTCACGGTGGAGGGGTGGATCCTCCCATCTGCTGGTGTCCCCTTTTATCTTCCGTATAAACAGTATACTTCCGGCGAGCCAGTCCCGGCTCCAGGATTGGTCTACGGTCTTGGTGACCCACTTCTTCAGATCCTGCCCGGGGATAACCCAAATTGCATGCGGGTGAACTCAAACAAGCCAAACGATGTGATGACCGCCGTTTTGGGAATGTCTGCTTCCTCCACCGCAACCTTATGATACGCTCGCTCCAGATCAAGAGTTGTGAAAACGGACTTACCATGAAGCGAATGCAGCAAATCGTGGATGTGCGGTACCGGATAACGGTCAGGTGTAGTGATATGATTTAAGCGACGGTAGTCACCAACGAAACGCCATTTCCCGTTCTTTTTCAGCACACAATGCAAAGGACTTGCCCAACTGCTACTCGATGGTCTGCATATTCCTAGGTCACACATAAGGCGAAACTCTTCCTTAGCAGCTTTAACTTTGTCCGGATGCATTCGTCGAACTCTAGACGCCACGGGTGGTCCACGAGTAACTATGTGATGGGTTACGTCACACTGCGTGACAGAACGAAGCGTCGATGGCAGAGTTATTTCCCGGTACTCCATTAACAAATCGTGGAACGGATGATCGGCACCAACAAGTGTTACACTGTGCAGAGCAGCAGTCATCATACCTCCAGAAGACTTCAATCCTGTCTGGCCATCTATCAGTTTTTGGTTTTTCAAATCGACGAGTATGCCGAAGTGCGCCAAAAAATCAGCACCGATTATTGGCATCGTCACTTCAGCAACGAGGAAATTCCAGGTGAATCTTCGTCTCAATCCTAGGTCAACAGGAATAAATTTCGTTCCAAATGTCCGAATTCTACTTCCGTTGGCTGCGTGGAGCTGTTGTATAACGGTACCGTTCAATCGATCTCTCCTGGAGGCAGGCAATATTGTGACGTCCGATCCAGTGTCGATTAGAAAGCGTGTATTGTTCGTCCTGTCAAAAATTACCATTCGGCGACTTTCCGACACTCCGGCCACCACCGCCGATGATGGTGGGGAGGATGCTAGTTTTTTGAGCTCCATGAACACGGTTCTCGGCACCGCTGAGCATCGTTTCCATATTTCCTATGGTACCAGCACAGTCCGGATCGTGATGACGAACGAGAACCACTTCGGTTTCGCGAAAACGAACGGCCTCGCTCAGGGTTGGGAGCCTTCAGGCGTCGGATTTCCACTGTGAGAAGTTCGATCTGCTCTGCTAGCTTCCTTTCACCACTGTTGCTGTACGTTGGTTTGTTGTGCACCATGGCAACTGCGGAGGACTGACCGTTGGAGGCGTCGGTGATCTTGTCTGCCATTTCAGCCAACTTCTCGATGGTACCATCGTGGCATGTGAGAATTGGTCGAATGTTTGCCGGGAGGCGTTGAATGAAAATCATTTTGAGCAGATTGTTATCCACGCCCAAACCCGTCGACAACTCTCTCATCTTTGCTAACAGATGCGTTGGGCGCATATCGCCAAGATCGTGGGCCCCCAGCAGCTGTTCGAAGCGGCTTTCAGCAGACAGGGCGAAGCGAGCAATTAGGCGATCTTTCACTGTTTTGTATTTATTTTCCGCTGGAGGAGCAGCTACCAAATCGGCTATGTGACATATAACCGATTGATCCACTTTGGCCACGATGTGGTAAAACTTGGTTTCATCATTGACGATTTTCGCAAGGTGGAATTGCGCTTCCGATTGCGCAAACCACATAGCCGGATCAGTTTTCCAAAAATCCGGTAGTTTTACTGCGACAGATGCTGCTGCGTTGCTCCCGTTATCGTCCGGCATTTTGAGGCTAGTTTCGGCTTTGAGATCGAATATCGGCGAATAACCGTGAAATCGGACCGAAACTTTTAGATTCGCGACGTCGCGGGTCACCAATGTAGTGATCGGACACGGAATAAAGAACGATTAGTTACGAAATACTTAAAATCTTTATTTTTACTTTCAATAGAAAAACAACCACATTCGCGCGTTGATAGCTGCGTAGCAAAGATTGACAGCTTGAGTTCTTTTTCTTCGACGACGACCCGATGGAAGCCAGGCTGACCAGTGTTGCCGGGCGATGCCACATGCCCTTTAATTCTATGATCTGTCTTGATGTTCTCCGAGCTTCCCTAAAGCTCTCAATTCTAATGAAGATCTCGGTTCTCACCTTTAAGTTTTCATAAATTTTCTGAAGGTCTCTGTACTTAATCCTTCGGAACATCTTAAGGGTTCGAGATTTTAACTCGATATTTTTAACGCATTTCATAAATAGCTTTCTTATTATAAACCTGGAGATTATCCGCCAAAGTTATGGAAAAATCTGGAAAACTCAGGGAACTTTATTTAGTCAAATGAGTGGACACCCTGTAGATAAAGAAAGACGATTAAACGTCAAAATATTCTATACAAGGTCGTCAACTACGAATTGTTCAAAAATGTAGGCCTACACACTGCAAGAAAAATGATCAATCTTGACCTAAATTCATGTTAAAAAAAAGTTTTAAATAAAGGGAGGAGACTTTTTAGTGACTTGCTTGAAAAAAGTGACTCGCTACCCGCCCTGAATTTAATGGAATCAAAACAAAGCTGCAACAACATATTTTTGAAGAGCAAATGTTCAGCAAAATGAAAACAAAATTTGTTATAAAATTTGTCAATCGCGTAAATTGAAGTCAAATTATGATTTCAGTTCGATGTTGATGTCTAAATTTGATTTCGATTTGCTGTCATGCTGGTCTCAACGCTAGCATTTTTCCACCACAAAGGATAGACAAAATAATTAAGGATAGGCTTACTGCCCATGAAAGCACATCACATCTTTGATTGATTTCCTATTCTAATGAGACTGTTATGCCATCATGGGTAGTGTACTCTTTTGTTGAATAATTAAATGTGATTTAAATAATTTGTTTAAAGTTACATCAGAATTGAAAGGTAAACAAAAATCAACACCCGATGCAGAGTCAAACAGCGCAGCATTTGGCATTCTACAACCAGTTGAGCTAATTTTAATCGCGTCCACTTTTCCGGTTTAGAACTTGAAAAAAAAATCAAAAATTAAAAACAACAAATCAGTGCCACAGCGACAGCGAGCGGGTTGTAATTCATCGTGCCCTCATAGCTTTCTTTTGTTTTTGTTTACACTACACACATCCGATTTCGACTTTTGAGGGCTGCCACATGTGCGAACCCAGTCAACATAATATGATTGTGTATGCGCTTTAGATGAAACAGGTTGTCGAGGTGGTCCGTCGCACTGCTGTTGTTGTTGTTGTTAGTGGATCGCATCCAAAGCTGCCACGACGAAGTTGAGTTTAGTTATTGAATAACAGGTTGTTTTTGGTTTGAAATTGGCTGCAAAAAATTGACCGGTTTTGGGCAAACCCGTTGACGACGGAACTAAGCCGCACTAATGACCAGACCAGCTGGTTCACTAATCACGCCCAGACACATTAGATTACGCAACAAATGCATGCTTTTGTGTACTAACCCTGGAGATCATCGGTCCGGTCGATCTTGAGACCCTGCTGGGTCACGGCAACCAGGGATGCTGCATACTCTTTGTCGCACTTGCTCTTCTGTATCATGCAGCGTTTCATCGTCTCCAGCAACTTCAGCTCGGCTTCCTGGCGGTTGAGCAGCGCTTCGTGCGCCGCCCGCCCTTGCAGCGCCGACGAGAAACCCATTTGCGTTCGATATTCCTGTCGCACTTACATTCAACACACTTCCTGAACTTTTCCTCTTGGTCTTCTTCAATGTTGCTCACCACTACCACCACGACCGTCGGTCACAAACAAACCACACACACACGCGTACGCACACAGGCGCCCAAACTAATCAATGCTCCGTTGTTTCGAAACTCTTCTTCCTTTATCTTCTTCACCACGCAACCCCTTCCTGGGATTATTACGTCACTCCTTGCTATATTGCGATTAGTGCACGATTAAGTTGTCACTGAGATGATGACAAAGTGTGCGCCCTCGCGCTCGAAGCGATTTAACAATTTCCACGGTCTGCGCCGCGCCCTTCACTTTTCCTCTTCTTCTTCTTCTCACCGGGAAAACGACCTGTCACACGGCAAATATCAAAAACCGAAAAACCTGTGAACCAACCGACGACCGATTCCGATGGCCAGAATATTATGCACAACTTAAATGGACAGTGAAAGCGAGCCGCGCGCGGTCTTTCACTTTTGGACGTTCACACAGAAACGGGCATTTTTCTTCTTCTTTGTTGTCGTTGTGTTTTGGTTGGTGCCTGTCAACTCAAGAGCTAATAATCGCGTCGCTTTTGGTCATCGCTTATTCCTGTCACACATCGATCAAACGACAAATTGCATTTTTCGTTGTTTCACTGCTTTAATTTCCAGGTGGACACACGCACTCACGTAGTGGCTCTGCTTCGATTAGGGGTTGAAAGTACACTACCACTACTACTGTCATGGGGATTTATATTTTTATTTTTTCTGCACAGATGGTGGATCGGCACTAGTTTGGAAGGAGACCTGTGGAGGAGGAGCAAAAAAAAAAGTATGTGATTAGCATAGAAAAAAAGAGTTGTCAACGCGGTCACCGTGGCAAAAAAAGTTCGCGTATTGCGCAATACCATATTCAATCCGTTACGGATCGCTACCAATAAACGATTGGATCGGTGTTTTTTTTTTGTTGGTCAAGTCACCCGAGCAACAAGCAGCAGTAGGCTTTGATGAGAATTGAGCATTGATTTTAAAAATTATTTTTATTCCATAGTGACCTGTGAATGTTTGTCAATACAGTTCTCTGTTCGCTTTACCAAAAATCATTAGATGAATTAGAAGATCAACGCACGGCCTACAGTGTTTCAAAAAACTACAAGGGACAGCCCTATGAGGTTGTACGCTATGGTGACGTAGGGCTACGTGGTCTTAATATATAATAAATCTTATTTGTTTTAAAACAGCAAAAAATGGTTATCTTACATTAAATTCCACTTAATTAATTTTGGAATCCATGACGGATGCGTATTTCGACTACAATGTGCTGTCAGTGTCATTCTCACCAAAGACTTATCAAAAACCTAACCCCTTTAAGTACTCATCCCCTAGGTAAAAATGTCAAGATTACAGGTATAAAAATGAAACTGCAACGTGTAGAATCGGGACCTACCTAACTATTAATAACCCAAGATTTAAGTAAAGGAGAAAAATCTATTCAAAGCTCCAATAAGTAATGTTAACTGCAGCAGGATCTTGCGTTTTGTGTAGGAATAGGAATTTGAGCGGGGTTCTCTCACCGCCAAACCGACATGAATAACCTTTAAAATTACCATGACATTTCTGATCAAAGCACAAAACTGACATCTGCCGCCGTGTTCGCGAAAAATGTGTATCCTAGCCACGAGCAGGCGTACAAATGTATGAGTTGGTTCGTGTCTAATCTTTCGCGGACAAATTATTATGATTTAGATAAAAGAATTCTATGGTTTTGACAGATGGGATCGCTGCATATTTGAATCGGCCGTTATGGATTCTCGAACAACAGTTAAGTTTAAGTTTCATGTCGGTTTTGTCAGCGGTCTGTCCATGTTTATACTCTTTAGTATGACATAGCTGGCTCACAGCAACTCACGAAGAGCTACTGATTCCGATCAATAGCGGTGCGGCTTCTTCCTCCTTCTGTGGATGCTCATGTGAGCTGCAGATCGTTGCTTGCAGGCAGCCTTTCGTTGTGTACTGGAGAACACCACTACTCACCACGCGGTGATTGAATAAACACCGTTTGGTGAGAATGGATGGGATTCAGCTTTGAAATCTGTGTTAGGGAAATCGATTTTCGCAGGCAATCGATGATAATTTTAATTATCATAGAAACAGTTACACATTCATGCAATTTTCAGTAGTGACATTTTGAAAAATGATAAAACCTTAAATTTAACAGATGCGTGGAAATGTTTCTGATAGATTGGTGATAACATTATTGAAATTGGTCCAGAGGCAGCTGAGTTATTAACGTTCAAAATCTTTCATAATTTTGCTACATGTTCCATTTTCGACTTTCACAAAGTGTACCCCCATATAGAAATCACAGACGTAGTCCTACGTCAACATCACAGTGGTTACCGTTTCTGATTACTGAGCAGAAGGTCGGGAGTTCAATCCCAGACCCGTCCCCTTCCTTGCAATTTTTCACTTTGCCTTATTCTATCCCCACTAGATTTAAATGAAAAACGAATTCTGCTTTAACCAACCGATCGCATCACTTACCACAGTTGAATCCTGGTCTAAAAATAACCCACCTCACTAACACAACTATCCTCCCCGTGAAAGCCGTGGAGATGAAGAGTTGTATTCGATGTAACAACTAACAACGGACATCGAACTAATCATCATTTCCTCCCCAAAAGACCGTAAGGACGTGGCCGGCGCTGTGATTGATCTATAAATAGATTGAATTAGTGAGCTTGTACATCGAAGAAACTAATCCCATGCACCATCTACGTGGTTCTGATCAATCACGGAGGAGCAACTACGAAATGCACGGACTTTAAAAAAAATCGGTGATGATATTTGTGTCAACAGATTAAGAATTAAATCTTTTAAAGATGTTAAAACCAAAGTGAATAGGCGATTTTTCTGATAGCCATAAAACTGATACAAATGTATGTATAATACATTACATATTTAGATATAAGCGAAGACAACAAATCAAGAAGACTTACAACTCTTCCATTTTCTCATACGAACGCTATGAGACCGGTACAATCGCGTCATCTGCCGCTTAAGGTGGAAGTTAATACTTTCCATTGACACTGAATCCACACCCGTTCAAACCACATCCAAATTCGAAATGCACCAATACCAACAAGTATTGGAAAGTATTGAAATTTTGAACATATTCGTAAACACAATATTATTGTATAATTATAATAATTCTACTACTGAAATGACAACTTCAATCCCAAGATTCCAAGTTCAGGGTAGTCTGACTAATGCTCAGGGAAGTCTTGCCGTAGTTCAGGGAAGGCCTGCCGAACTTCAGCGTAGTCTTGATGAAGTCCAGGTAAGCCCTGCCGAAGTTCAGGAAAGTGCTTCCGAAGTTCAGGGAAGTCTTTGTGAAGTTCAGGGAAGTTCTGCCGATGTTCAGGGAAGTTTTTCCGAACTATAGGGAAGTCCTACGAATGTTCAGAGAACTCCTGCCGAAGTTCAGAGAAGTTTTACCGAAGTTCAGGGAAGTTCTGCCGAAGTTCAGGGAAGTCTTTGTGAAGTTCAGGGAAGTCTTTTCATTTCAATTCTTGAAATTGGGGCGAAAAGCGCTACGCTGGTGGAATGAAGATACGAAAGCCGTTAAAGCCCGGCGTAAAGCACTTCGCCGTGTAAAGCGCCTTCCTATCGGACATCCCGACCGCGAGGACGCGCTCCGTCACTACCATGAATCGCACAATCAATGCCGGCAAGAAATCCGTGCCGCCAAACGAACCAGCTGGATGGACTTTCTGGAAGGAATGAATTCGTCACAGTCTTCGGCCGACTTATGCCCTCAGTGGGAAACGGCGCATGACACCGCTCCACGTACAGATTAACGGTGAAGCTGTTTCTGACCCTGCAATTGTAGCGGACGAACTCGGCTCGTACTTTGCCGATCTCGCAGCCATCGAGAGGTACGAAGACGAATTCAAGCGGAAAGCTAAGCCTTCGACGTCATCCATTGCAAGTTTTTCTGTTTCTTCTGACGCTGGAAACTCGGACATCAACCAGGCATTCTCCTGGCAGGAATTGCAGCATGCCCTCCGCTGCAGCAACGGAAAGTCAGCGGGTCCCGACGAAATCGGGTACCCTCTACTCAAGACGTTACCAACGCCAGGCCAGCTACGGATGCTGGAGCTTTTGAACAAGCTCTGGCTCACCAACTCGTATCCAGCGTCTCAGAGCTTAGTCATTCCCATCCCAAAAGCCAATGAAACAACCCGTGAAGCTAGCAAGTTCCGGCCAATAGCCTTGACATGCTGTATGGCCAAGGTCCTGGAGCGAATGGTCAATAGGAGACTAAAGCATTTCCTTGAAGCCGAAAACCTGCTAGACCATCGACAGCACGCCTTCCGTCAAGGGTACGGAACGTCATCTTATTTTGCAACATTAGGGGAGGTCCTCAAGAGTGCCAACGATAGCGGTCTCCACACCGAGATCGTCTCGCTGGATATATCGAAGGCCTTCAACAGGACGTGGACGCCCCTCGTCTTAGAGCAGCTTGTCAACTGGGGGCTGTGTGGACCCATGGTCCACTTCATCAAAAATTTCCTGACCGATCGCTCTTTCAGAGTCGCAGTGGGCAACACGAGGTCCCAGCTTTTCAGAGAAGAGACGGGCGTCCCACAAGGTTCAGTTATTGCCGTTACCCTCTTCCTTGTGGCCATGAACGGAGTTTTCGGAGGACTGCCGAAAAATGTTTACATTTTCGTGTATGCAGACGATGTACTTATCGTAACTACCAGCCCAACAGCAGCACGCAACAGGATCAAGGCCCAGGCAGCAGTCTCTGCTGTAGCCAGGTGGGCCAGCGCGGTAGGTTTCCAGCTTTCGGCCACCAAAAGCGTCAGGTGCCACGTGTGTCCATCCCGGCACCGTGTCAGCGGGCCACCTATTAAAGTTCAAAGCCAGCCCATACCACTGAAGAAAACGGTCCGTATTCTGGGGTTACTTGTTGACCGGTCCCTCAACTTCGAGCAGCACTTTAAGGCGATCAAGAACGACTGCCGCAGTAGGATCAACTTGATCCGCACTATCTATCGCCCCCACCAGTCTAACAATCGTGACACTCGTTTCCGGGTTGCAAGAGCCGTCATCGATAGTCGCCTACTGTACGGTCTTGAGATGACGTGCATCGCCACCGAAAAGCTCGTGCAGATACTAGCACCAACTTTTAACACCTACGTTCGGATTGTCTCCGGTCTTCTTCCGTCAACGCCCGCCGATGCCGCATGCATCAAAGCGGGTATTCTGCCCTTCCGCCATCGT